TGTGCAAGAAAATCGCACCCACAAACATCCTCCCAACACACCAGTGTTAGTAAAATTGTTTGAATTTACGAAAGAGGGGAGTCTAGACCCGTGGCAAAGATGCTGTGTCTTGGTTGTTGGTGAGAAGTATCAGTTCTGCCTATGGAGTCTGGTAATGAGAGAACCTCTTCCTACTGAGCCACTTGACAGTAAGACTGCCTTTGGGGGAAATGGCTGCTGATGTCTGAGAGTTTTGTCACTGCAGAGGTGTTGTTTCCAGGAGCCTAAACTCTCTCTTTTGAAGTGATTATGACTAGTCTTACAGAGAACTGTTTGTTTTGGTTTGGTTTGGTTTTTGGAACATTGCAGACAGCTTTGGGCAAATGGCAGGTAGCAAAGGAAATGGGAGACTTTAGTTGCAGGAGGCAGAGGAGACAGTTATGTGCCTAGGCTTCCCCACCTCACAATAAGGGTGGAGGCACATCTGATATGGCTTGGTGAGTTCAGTCTAGTCTTGAGGCACGTGAGATGGAATACCTACCTTCTAGGAACACTATGGTTCTTAGTTGAACTTAAGGATCCTTAGCCATCCCTAGGAATGTGTAGGAATAAAAAATATATTGGAATTATTGCTGTGTGAGGGCAAAATTTATGATAAAATATGGTAGCTTAGAACAGCAAATAGTTCTGATCTCAGATTCTGTAAGTCAGGAACTCAGGAGAGGTGTAGCTTGAAGGTCTTGACTCAGGAGCTCTAATGAGGCTGTCAGCAAGCTGCTGGGTGGATCTGCAACCATCTGTAGGCTAGGAGGTCATCTTCCAAGCTTAGTCATGTGGTTGGGAGCAGCCTTAGTTGCCACTGGATGTTGGTCTCAAACTCTTGTTCCATACCACATGGGTCTCTTCACAGCCTTGTTTAGTGCAGGCTGCTACAGCAAACACCATAGGCTGGGTGGTTTATAAAGACCATAAATCTACTTCTCACAGTTCTGGGAGTCAGAACTCTCTAGGTGGCAGCATAGCCAGAGTTTGGAATGACCATCTTCAGGGTTCTAAAAGCTGTCTTCTCACCTGGTAGACATATAACTGGCTACCTCTGGCCTCTTACCCAGGCCTAAATCTCCTTCAAGGGGAATCTGATGTAATGACCTAACACCTCCCGCATCTAAAACAGTCACACTGAGTTGAGATTTTGACATATGAATTTGGGAGTCTGGGAAGAAAGCATTGCGTCCATTGCATTGCTCGAGTGTCCTCACAACATGGCAGTTGGATTGCTGGGGGGAGGGGAAGTGCAATCACATTGGGAATGTAGTCGGCATTTTAAACTTCAAAACTCGCCTCCATTGACACACCTCCGCCAATAAGGCCACACCTCTGCCAATAAGGCCACACCTCCTAATGCTTCCCAGACAGTTCCACCAACTGGGGACCAAGCACTCAAACTATGATCGATCCTATACGGGCTATTCTCATTCAAACCACCACAGCCCAGTTCCCTAGAATCATCGACAAGTAGTTGTTTAGCAAGTGGATAGTTTTATTAGAAAAGTAAAACAAACAAAAAAATCACTAGAGCTTATTCTGAAAGAAATGAGCAAGTAAATTAAGTATAGATTTTTGCTTTGATCTGACACCTGAGGTTTATGTAACTAATGCTTAGCCTCGAGCTGTGGCCCCTTCTACTGTGTCATAAAACCCTCGACTCTGTTTCACCTTGAAACTGAACAAACAGAGCACGTCAGGTGACGAACTAAGCTTGCTTAGTGAGGACAGACCATGCAAACCTGTGATTCTCGTTCAATGCCTATTAATCAGATTCTCCAGTGAAATGGAGGCAGTAGGGTGGGTAGATGATAGGTAGGCAGGTAGATCTTATATGGGGAATTGGATAGATATTATTAGAAAAAAGCTCTCTTGCTTTCAGAAGCCAAGAAATCCCACCGTCTGCCACATGCAACCTGAGAATTCAGGAAAGTTGGTAGTAGAACAAATCAGTCGCAGTCCAAAAGCCTGAGAATGGGGTGGGGTGGGCAAGCCATGACCTAAGTCCTGGTCCAAGGGCTGAGAATGGGTAGAGTGGCATAAGCCGTGACCCAAGCCCCAGACGAAGGACACAGAAGAGAAGAAGGAACAAGGCATTTAGCTCAAGCAAGAAGGCAGCAAAAAGGGGGAAATCCTCCATCCTGGACTTTCTATTCCATTCAGGCCTTGGATGGAATTATATGATGTCCTTGACACCGCAATGCATTCAAGTGCTGCTCTCACTGAAATAGTCCCACAGACAGTCTTTAATCTGGGCCCAGTTGCCCCCGTCTGTGCTCTGTGCGCTGGCACCCAGTTAGCAAGCTTCCGGCAAGGGGGCTGGAGGTTAAAATACACAGACACACACAGACAGAGAGACAGCGACACGGGTCATCCTTGAATTCCCCAAGAATGCCCATTTATTGTGTTCAGGGGCAGATTATATAGAGATAGCCACGCCCCAGCCAAACCCACCAGAAACCACTCTCCTGCCATCAGGAACTCCTGAAGGTCTCGTGCTCAGAGCAGCTGTAGGCACTCAGATGGGGGATTACAAGAACTTCAGGATCTGGGATCTCACTGCTCCCAACACCCAGCCAACTCAGCACATCACCGATGTTAAAAAGTTTAATTGAGGGCTGGGGAAATGGCTCAGAGGTTAAGAGCACTGCCTGCTCTTCCAGAGGTTCTGAGTTCAATTCCCAGCAACCACATGGTGGCTCACAACCATCTATAATGAGGTCTGGTGCCCTCTTCTGGGCATGCAAGCAGACAGAATACTGTATACTTAATAAATAAATAAATGTTTAAAAAAAAAAAAAAAAAAAAAAAAAAAAAAAAAAGTTTAATTGACACACAGTGACTTTAGTGCCCAATTATGGCTGTTTTTCCTCAATTTTCACATAAAATATCCCCTGGATTATCTGCTGAGATCATTTTTAGCCCCCTTTCCTGAGAACCATCTTCATTGAGAAAACGACCCAATAACCGTGTTGCTACAATGTGTCTCTGCCCTGTGGGCCACTGGAACTGAATTGGGGACTGACACCAGACAGAGGAGGGCTAATCAGAGCCTGCTTCCTGTCTGTCTGGAGTTGGGACTGAGGTCCAGAACACCAGTTACCGAATGGAGGAGTAGGAAGGTTATTGCATCTTCTTCTGCCTCTGGAGCAGGACAGAGGAGAAAGGGAAGGCACCAACTTTGGTAGTTTCTCATCAGACTGTTAGAGACACTGTTGAGATTTATCTGACCTTGGAGGAACCTTAATATCCTTCCAAAAATAATCCTATCTTGTTATATAAACTAGTTTAAATTAGATTTACTTCCCATAGCAAACCTGTTTTAGACACAAGAACATTAAGGTTAAGCGACTTACACAGGGGTGATGGGCCATAGAATCGGCAAAGCCGAAATAATCCAGGATCATATTAACTCACTGACCTTTCACCCATCTTCCGTGACACTAAAAAAGAAAAAAAAAGTGCTTCCCTTTCCAGGGTCTTCGGGGTTCACACCCCATAGCCCTGTGATGCTATACTGTAGAGGAAGAAACATAACCAGAGGGGACAGAATTCTTTACATCTGTTGCCAGTGCTTAATTTCCCCAGCATGCTAGTGTTTCAACAGCCATGAAAGCATCATGGCATGGAGGAACCAAAAGGTCAGGAGAAGTTGGGAGATCCCAAGATCAGGAGAGTTGGGACCACGATCAGCTCTGTTCCACCAGCTGCTTCCCAACATCCTCTCTGCTCCAAAAACCCTGCCTACCCATCAGCCAATCAGCTTTTTATTAACAACGGGAGCAACGCATCTTCATAGTGTACAAACGGATTATCCCACAGCACAGGAAGCACGCAGCACCGGCCAGCATGTAGAGACTGACTCTCTTGCTGAGCACCTACACTGATAATGGAGTCCCCATGAAAAAGAAATAAACACCTGCTTCCATCACTAAGACTCTGAAATCATCTCTTTGTGAGTTATCTTATCCTGACATAGTCAACTAAGGATCTGGTCCACACCCACTTTGTCCTTGACTTCTTATCAACTCAGCTCCATTCCCTGCTTCTCACAGTTCTGTCTGTGTGTCTCGTGATTCTGTGGGTTACCATTGTAGGAGCCTGTTCCTACAAAGTCAGCTAGGGTCCCTGGATTGCGGGTTGTTAAGGCCAAAGGAAATTCAGATGAAAGAAGCTGAGACAGAAGATACAGGATAGAATCGGGAGGTCTGTCTGGCAGCCAGCTGATCAAACCAAGCAGCCAAACGGCCCAGAGTTTATTTCAGAACTTGCTTATATAGAAAAGCAGAACAAAGCACAGTACAGATGGTCAGTCAGTTTCCAATCACAAGACCATTCCTGTCTTTGAGTGAGCAGCCTCCTCTCCAACATACGCTTGCTGCTCAGAAGCAGCCTTACTTTCTATCTTGATATTTACTCCTGAGGTTTGGCATCAGCAGTATGCTTCCTACAGATAGAATGTTCTTTTCTCATGGGCTACATCAGAAGTCTCTCAGAGTCCTCAAGGTTATTGAAAAAAGCAGAGCAGGCAAGCTTGAACTCAAATGACTTATAGGACAGAATGGACTCCAGATGGAAACTGAGTCACACATGGGCTCCCACAGACCATGATGGGGATACCCTTTGATAAGACTTACCTGAGCTAATGGGAGCTCACTGACTCTGGACTGACAGCAGGAGAACCAGCACAGGACCAAGCTAGGCCCTCTGAATGTGGGTGACAACTGTGGGACTGGGGCAGTCTGTGGGACCACTGGTAGTGGGACCAGGATTTATCCCTAGTGCTTGAACTGGGTTTTTGGAGTCCATTCTCTTTGGAGGGATACCTTGCTCAGCCTTGATATAGTGGGGAGGGCCTTGGTCCTTCCTCAAAGCAATGTGCTAGACTTTGTTGACTCCCCATGGAAGGAAGCCTCACCCTCTCTGAGGAGTCAATGGGGGTGGGGAGGGGGAGAAGGGAGAGGGAGGAAGAGAGGGAGTGAGAATTGGGACTGGTATGTAAAATGATAAGATTCTTTTTTAAAAAATTAATTAATTAATTAAAGGTAATGTAATGATTAAATTCCCAATGATAAAATAAGCCCAGACTAATTCAGACAGCTGTATGGAAGGAAATGAAATACATATGTTATAAGGGGAATGTATAGGTTAAGTTTAGATTTCTGGCTTTGTTTTGTTTTTGTTTTGTTTTTTTACTGGACCCTAGAACCACCATAAAAAATGGCAGTCCAAACCTCCAGGCCCAAAGTCCCATAAGGCATTGCTGTTGTGCAGTCAGTGCTGACAAGATTGTATTACTGGAATGACAGCAGGGTAGGTGTTGACAATTTAAAAATGAATGTTGTGAAAGTATCTAACATCTCTTTCCTTGTGACATACAGCTCTTGAGTTCTTGAGACTTCATTCATGAGCTTAGAACCAGAGCAAGCTCAGAAGTACTGCCATTGTGCTGCTACCATGGTAACCAACAGCCAAGGCATCGGAATGCAGGGGTAGCTTCTGTTGTGCATCACGAGCTGGAATTTGCCAGCAGGCCTCCTCTGGAAGAGATGGCCCCATACTCTTGGCCACCAGCTCCCAGGTGACACTTTTCATTAGGAATCTTGGCATCTTGGGCCTCTGGTCCATTCCCTTCAGTGTCCTTGTCAACTTCCTGGTTGGAGAGAAAGGAGGGAAAGCTTCACAGAATAGCCACAGAGCTCTGAACTCCCTCTTGTAGAGACACTCATGTAAGAAGCTTTGCCTTTTAAGCAATATCAAACTTCACACCCAAACATTTTGCTATTCAACTTTTGAAATCGTGACTTCATGGGAATGAGGCAAACACTAAGGAGTGTTACGGCACAAGAAGCGTTGGCAATGTGAGCCAGTCTGGCCATGGGAGCTCAGTGCAGTTGTGTGACTTCATCACCAGGTAGGAATACATTCTCCATATTGCCATAGATATTCCCTGTAGGCTCATGTATCTGAATCCTTGGCCTCCAGCTGGCAGTGCTGTTTCAGGAGATTGTGGAAAATTGGGGATGAAAGGCCTAGCTAGAGGAAGTGGGTTGCTGGAGGAGCAGCCAGCTTCCTGTTCCTTCTCTATCTCCTAATCCACCTGGATGGAAAGAACAGCCTCACACCGCCACTGCTATGGAGTCATTGGCCTCCAAGTCTTCCCTGCTTCTGTGATTCTGTCAACCTGTGAATCATCCTTGCTTAAGTTGCTTCTGCCTGTGTTCAGCCAGAGCCAGCAGAAACCTGACTAGTGAAATGCCCTTCCCATCTCAGAGCCCCTGGCACCCCCAGCATGACTTTACCTACCTTATCTTGTGTTCTGCGATACTCATTTAGCACATACTGATATTTGGGTTCGGAAAGACCAAAGAAGACGGCAAATCTTTCACCAAGGAATTCACAAGCTGGAAGGAAGAACAGTCCTTGGAGAAACTGAATCCATGATTGAAGCTTCGGGTCAGCCCAAGAACCTAAACTTGTTTGCAATGGCCTGTCCTACCACACTGGGCCTCTGGAATAGCCAGGACCACAGGCATGGATCACCATGCCCAGGAAATATGTATTGTTGTGAGCCAAAGCCCCGCATGAAAACCACTGTAGGCTCTTCCTCCGTTCTCTCATCCTGTAAGGTTCTGTATCTTTTACGAGTCCTAGGATAGGCCAGGAAACCTAAAGCTGTGCTGGCTCCTTCCTTTCAGATCAGAGCAACCTTTTCTAATGGGGACCAGACTTTCATGGTTCTCTTAGAGTCTTCTCTTTATGTGTGTTTTCCTGCTTCTCCCTGTCCCTAGTCCCCGAGTTGTCCCTATGAGCACGAATTGCAATTCTGGGCACATTTACTAGTCTACACTATTCATTGAAAATTAAATCCCATGAACACATCATCATTTGTCTTTGTGTCTCAGAGTCCAGCTAGGTGCAGGGCATGCAGTAGGCAGTCGGTAATGCTTTTCTAATGGACGAATAAAGATGAGTTTGCAAGAGCCACAGTTTAGGCTTTCTCAGAATTCTAAAGTAAAAAGTAATTTTTCTTGCTATCACATTCACGAGCAGACATATTAGAAGGAAATGAGTCATTTTACATTTGCCAATTGTGTTCAAAATGAAACAAATGCAAGTAAAACAAAGTAAGATTATATACGCTATAAATAAGCACATAGGACATCCTGTATGTCTTCAGGAGGAGCCGAGAGAGAGCTCATGTTTATAGCAGAATAACTGTGCTGGGAGAACTTAGCACTGTGTCGTTCAATGTTCTTTTTTAACAAAAACAGGGAAGTGTGTCCAGATGAAGAATAAACTCAGGAAGGATTGACTAATGGCTTCAATTATTTGCATCTTTGATCCATGAAAGAAGAACGTGGGCTGATTTTGCACAACTCCGAGAGTGATGACTAGACTGATGGCAGGGACTTTCAAAGAAGAAAATTTGGGTCAAGATAAGAAAAAGATGTGATTGCCAATGTTCTCATGTGGTTCAGTCTTCAGCGGACAACACAGAGCAGTCCACAGTCTTCAGTGGACAACACAGATCAGTCCACAGTCTTCAGTGGACAACACAGATCAGTCCATAGTCTTCAGTGGACAACACAGATCAATACACAGTCTTCAGTGGACAGCACAGATCAGTACACAGTCTTCAGTGGACAACACAGATCAGTCCACAGTCTTCAGTGTGTAACACAGATCAATACACAGTCTTCAGTGGACAACACAGATCAATACACAGTCTTCAGTGAACAACACAGATCAGTCACAGTCTTCAGTGGACAACACAGATCAATACACAGTCTTCAGTGAACAACACAGATCAGTACACAGTCTTCAGTGTGTAACACAGATCAATACACAGTCTTCAGTGGACAACACAGATCAATACACAGTCTTCAGTGGACAACACAGATCATTACACAGTCTTCAGTGGACAACACAGATCAATACACAGTCTTCAGTGGACAACACAGATCAATACACAGTCTTCAGTGAACAACACAGATCAGTACACAGTCTTCAGTGTGTAACACAGATCAATACACAGTCTTCAGTGGACAACACAGATCAATACACAGTCTTCAGTGGACAACACAGATCAGTACACAGTCTTCAGTGGACAACACAGATCAATACACTTGCCTAGAGCTGTTATTCGTGTTCAGAGTTGCCAGGATGGGAACAGCTCAGGGACTAAGCACAGGGTGACTCGGGAAACTCATATACAGAGAAGACCTGAAGAGAGTGGGAAAGCCTGGTTGGCATGGATGCCATGGCAACAACCAGTAAGTAAGTCTTCAAGTCACAGTAAAACTAATACTAATGGAGTGATATGGTTAGATGGAATGACCCTCCAAAGAATCCATGTTTTCCACAATGTTGGAAGGCAGTGACACTGAAATTACATTGGAAAGTCAATCCCATCCCAATCATAATCCATGGGTAGAAAGAAAAGCAGAAGGCAGATAAAAGGATCTTCACATCTTTAGGACAGTTAACACATGAGTTTAGAAGTTACAAGATTATCATTTCTGAATCCTGGGGAGAGAATGGAACAGCTGGAAGTCTCATATGTCTTGGAGAATCAGTAAATACACAGGAAAGAAAGAATGAAAAAAGGAAGGAAGGAAAGAAGGAACGAAGGAAAGGGAAGACAAAACCCAAATGTTGGCGGAGGATGTTAGTTCATTTCCTGGCCACCTGGACCCAAAAAAGCACACAGAAACTATATTAATTACAACACCATTTGGCCTTCTAGCTCAGGCTTCTTATTAAATAACTCTTACACCTTAAATTAACCCATTTCTATTAATCTATGTATTGTCACGAGGCTGTGGCTTACCAGAAAGGTTCTGGGTCCTTCTCTTACGCCAGTTTCATGATGTTTCCTTGACTCTGCCTACTCTCTTTCTATATCACTTCAGATTTCCCACCTGGCTTTAGTCTGCTAAGCCACTGGCTGTAACAGTTTTATTCATTAACCAATGGTAATAAAACATATTTGCAGCATACAGAAGAAAATCCCACAACACACAAACCTTAGCAGTACTTACTAGAAATTGAATTGCTTGCTACTTGACCTGCCCAAAACCAGAAGTATGATCTCCATGAAAGTTTAGACTGAAAAATAGAAAGAAATCAAAGTAGGATAATTAATAACAAGTGGGCAAAGGCCTGTGCTGCCAAGCCTGGCAACCCGAGTTCAGTCCCCAGGCCCCGTGTGGTGGAAGGAAGGAGCTGACCGCTACATGTCGTCCATTGGCCCCCACACGCATACCATGACATATGTGCTCTCAACCTCAACAAATAAATTACTATGATAAAAATTAAAGATATCAGGAACAGCAATTGGCAATTCTTTCATAGAGATTTCAAAATGTACTATAAATGTTTAATTTTCTCTCTTACCAATGAGAAAACTAGCAAACCAATGGCTGTCTGTTGCCTATATGTGATCTAAAAGGCTATCAAGAAGACCAAAAGCTTAATGTAAAGCCATATTTTCCATATAATTCATCTGGATTAGTCACTCATTTATTCCCCTCTTCCCATCAATACTAACACGATGAGCTTACAGAGTCATATACTGAGTTCTGGTCCTCTTTTTCTTCCTCTTCCTCTGTGCTGTATTCTTCCATGGTGTCTCCATCAGCAAAGTGGATAACCCTTTTGGGAGTAGCGCTTTTACGAGGTCCACTCATTTCTGATTCTGACTGTTGGAGGTGGTCTTCCTCCACAAGGAGTTCTCCCGGTTACTTGAAAACAGATTGCCCCAGGACAAACTGCCCAGGGCAGGGTTTAAATGTAGCTAGTTGTTTTCAATGAAGGTAAGGACAGAGGTCAGGGGCAATCCTATCAGGCAATCTTGACTCCTCACATCCGAGAGGAATGTTCAGTCTGTATCAGAATTAAAGAGATTAATTTAGAAAAGATGTGGTTATTGGATGTTTGGACAAAAGGTTTCAGCATGGCTGCCAGATCTTGTAATCACCATGAAAGCCATAACTGCTGGGAGTTAAACCATCCACCATCAAAGTTTCTCAGTCATTCCAGTTTGCACTGAGAGGTGACACAGGGAGCATTCATGAGCACAGATTGCACAGACAGGAGAAAATATTTGCAAAGCCTATTGCAGTAAAGAAGCACGTTCAGAATATGTAAAACATTACTATAATTCAATAGGTAAGACATAATTCTCACATGAGCAAAAGATTTTAGCAGGCTACCAAAGATGAATTACAGATAGCAAAGACACACACGAAAGGATGGTCATGCCATTGATCATTAAAGACATGCATATTGAAGCCTAATAAGATGTCAACATGTGCCCACTAGAGTGACTAAGATTTAAATGTGACTAACAATATCACGTATCGGGCATGCGTGTGAGGCAACCGGAGCACTCATACACTGCTAGCGAAGAGTTGTTTAAATCTGGAACACTCGCCAAAGGCCCAGGTGTTTCAGGTGCAGTCCCCGGCCCGTAATGCTACTAGAAAATGGTAGGACATTTAAGAGGTGAAGTCTGGCAGAGGAACTGAGGTCATGTTGGAATATGGTTCAAGAATAGTTTGTCCCAGGAGAATTCTGAGTGCTTGTGATAAAACTCCAAGAAAACAAGACAAGAGACGTGTGACCTCCAGTTTCTTTAAACACAGAATTGTTCTGGGAATGTATGTTCATGCTCCTCCCAGCTGTAGTGGGTAGGAGTCGGTTTACTCCAGATTATTCATTACAACTGGATATTGTTATTTGTTGATATGCCTCCATGAAAAAGAACACGCTTTTGCCATGTGTGGCTTGCCCTCCATGTGCGGCTTGCCCGCCATGTGTGCCTTACCATCCACCTGCGTCTTGTCCTTGTGGAGGTACACTTTACTCATGTGTCCCTTCTTAACCCTCAGAGTATAAACTGTCTGATGCTCTGAATAAAGCTGGCTACCGCATAAGACTTTAGTTCACCACATTTATTGGTTCTATTCTCTCAGGTCCCACCGCCTCTAGTGTGGTGATCAGGTCATTCGGAGTGCACCCTTGAAGGGACTGGAGCCCTTTCCTCTTTCTTTGTTTCCTCTTGACTACCATATGACCAGGCTTCCTCTGCCATGTTCTCACCATGTTGTGCAGTGCCACCAAAAACCCAAGTGACCACAAACAGAAACCTCTCAATCAGTGAACCAAAATAAGTCTCTCGAGTCACTTTAGAGAACCATTTGGCAATTTCTTACATTAAACATACATTTACCATATACTCCTTTAATCCCTTCTTTTGATAACTACCCCCCAAAAAAGAAAAAAATTCTTTTTAACATACATATGTGAATATTCATATCACCTCGATTTGTAAGAGTCCCAAACTATAAAAAATCATAAGCTGGACAAGCCAAAGGTGGTTTATCTGGTCAATGAAATGCTACTCAATAATCCAGAGTGATAAACAACTAATACTTGCAATACAATGAAGGCTTCTCAAGAGCATTATGTCAAGCAAGAGAAGTCAGTTGTTCCACGGCATGATTCCATTTATGTTTAGGGAAGGCATCATACAGATGTGAAAACAGCTCAGTGTTTGCTAGGCATGAGGGTTAGGGAAGAGAAAGAGAAGCAACAAGGGGACCAAAGGGAACTGCTTAGATGGAAACATCCCAATAAATGTCATGCTATAATAGGGGTCACCTGACTCCACACATTTATAGCAATCAAATTGACATGGAAGTTAATTAACTTTATTTATTTCATTTCTTAAACGTTTATTTATTTGTGTGTGTATGGGGGGTTATACCATAGCATTGAGCGTAGAAGTCAGAGGTTTAAGTAGTTGGTGCTCCTTCCAGTTGAAGCTTCCAGGGCTTGAGCTCAGGTAGTCAGGTTTGGCCACAAACACTTACTTGCCGAACCATTTGCTGCCTCTAATTTTGTTATATTTAAAGTACATCTCAATAAAACAGAAAAGCTTTGCTGCCAGCATACCTATATTTAATTTTTTATTACTTAATAAACCCCTGTCATAATATGCTCATCTATTAAATAATAATACAGAATGATATAGTACATTATAAAGACATACAAAAGGTAGAACAATTCTTAGATAGAAAATAATGTTTAATAAAAACTATTATTAAGTATCTATCTTTAGCTTAGTAGTGTATATAGCAGGCACCAATATTGTAAGCACACTTATTTTTTAAAAAATAACATTTAATATATTTTAAAAATTATATCAGCAAGTAGGGCAGACTTAGTTGCTTTGGAATAATTCTCCTTTTTATTCCAAACACACAGACAGAAATCCTGGATAAAATTAACAATCAAAAACTTTAGCTCATAGCTGCTCTAAGAAGGGTGTAAAGAGGAGATGGAGAAGGAAGTGGAAGAAGAAAATAGAAAGGCAGAAAGGCAGGGAGGCAGGAAGGAAGGAAGGAAGGAAGGAAGGAAGGAAGGAAGGAAGGAAGGAAAATAGGAAGGAAGGAAGATGTGAAAGAAGGAAGAGAAGGAAGGAGGGAGGAAGGGAGGGAGGGCAGGCTGAGGTATCAGAATCAGAGGAAATGATGAGTTGGAGCCCAGGCAGCAGCTCCTGGGAGTTTCCAAGTCAGATGCAGGCCTTGAGGCTGGAATACTACTAGCAATATTGAGAGCCCAAGTCATGGACTCTGTTAGAATGAGCAGCTAAAGTGAGCTACACACAAAAGACCAAGATAATAAAATACTATCACATCTCTAACTTATAGACTAAAGAAACTCTCCTAAGCTCTGCAGAAATAGCAGAGGAATTTACCGTATTGTGGCAATACTCTCCTGGAAACCGACTGGAATGCAGGCCAGTGCACATGCTGCTAGGCAGCCGGTTCAGGGGCATTATGTGGATGATGCACTATGACAAAGCCAAGGAATCAAAAACCAGTCTAAGCCTCAGAACCCTGCCGAGTGGAAAGACAAACCTGCCTCGGAATTATGTGTCATCAGGACAGGGCATCCTGAATCTCCGCTAACACCACCTCTGATGAAGATGTCCTCGCAGAAACTCAGAGACCACGTGAAGAAACAAAGCGTCAAACAAAGTGGAAACAAAGTGGAAGGGCACCCACATCTGTGTTCGCCAGCTTTCTGCTGCTGCCACAAACGATTTGGGATAATCAGCTTACAAGGAGAAAAGGCTTAGCTCGATTTCGTGTTCCAAAAGGAGAAGCTGCTTGTTTCGTGGTGTTCAGCAAGCAAAACGAGAGGAAGTAAAAAGGGTTAACGCGTGCTTCCAGTGGCCAAGCGTCCTTCCACTGGGCCCTGCTTCTGAAAGGCTCTACCATGCACCTCTCACAATTTTAGCAAATAGACCTTTGGGTGGCATTCAAGATCTATGACAGACCTGATCCAAGAATTAAGAATAATAAAAACAAGTGGTGTGATGGGTATTCTTGGTTGTCAACTTGACTACACCTGGAACTAAAAACCCAAAATGGAGGGCACTTGTGAGAGCTCTTTGCTTAATTTGAAGTAGAAAGATCCATTCTTAATCTGAATTTTTGAGGTAGGAAGACACACCAGATCTAATCTGGGCCACGCCTTCTCCTGGAAGCCTATATAAGGACATGGAAGAAGGAAGCTTTTGCTCTTTGCCTACTTGCTCTTGCCCTGCTAGCAAGCCCATTCCTTCACTGGCACTGGAGTCAACTTCTTCGGGATTCTGGCTTACACTGAAGACCAGCTGAGACACCCAGCCTCATGGACTAAACAACCGCTGGATTCTTGACTTCATTCACGCCAGCCATGTGGGATTAGCTAGACGGCAGCCTATAAACCATTCTAATAAATCCTCCTCTCTATATAGAGAATCATTCTGTAACCTCTGCTACTCTAGAGGTGTATGCAGGTGCAAACTCTAAAGTGAGTCTTTCTGTGTCTGCTGTGTTCAGAAAGCCAAAGGGAAACACAATACCCACAGAACAGGTCAACTTGAAAAGGGACTAGACAGAAATTCTAGAAATCAGGTACACAATCAACACGGGGAAGCTTGCGTATAAATTTACAGTAGTGGAGAAATCTAAGAGTATGGAATAAATATGTACATTTAACACAAAACTGGGGTTGCGAGCTATAAAATGTAGGTAAGAGAGTGAGAGTTGTCTAATAAAAGTTTTGAAAGCACTGAACAGGAAGAGTGGGGAGGAAATGGGTTGTCAGTTGTCCATGGTGGAAGAAAGGTATAAGCTTTCGAAACTGGAAACAGAATACCTGAGGGGATGAATAGGCATAAAATCAAATACAGATAATGAAAATTACAGAAAAATGTTTCCTCGTTAGCAGTCCTAAGAAAGAACATGTATGCTAGCTAGTCATTGCTGCTGAAATATATCTACAGACCAACAGAAAATAATTAATTTGACCGAAAAAGAGAAGATTACTCGTAAAGGTGTAGCAATTATAGTACTGGCCAACTTCATGTAAACAATGGCCTATCAGACATTGCATTGTTGTCAAAAGGAATTCAGCAACTAGCAAAACAATAATTCAGTGTGAAGTGAAAACATGGCTGATAATTTTCTCTGTCTTCATTGAAAGACTGTATGTCAAAAAGGAGCAAGAGTAATATGCAAGAAACAGAAATTACTAAAAACAGGAAAATTCAAATCACAGTAAGTATTGACCCTTAACACAATTTCAGTGGAGACAATATGAAGATAAAACAGTACTAAATATTAGACCATTAAAAAATATGAGCTGATAGCTTCTAAGCATTGTTTAGGGATAGGTTAGATAGGATAGGTTTTTTGACTCACAATGAGCAATTTAAAGTGAGAGTTCCAGGTCAGTCAGAACTACTCAGTGAGTCTCTCTCTCTCTCTCTCTCTCTCTCTCTCTCTCTCTCTCTAAAAAAATGGCAAAACAAATGAAGACAAGGAAGAGGAGACCAAGTGGGAAACTTGTGAACAGAATATGAAGGAAAGGAAAGTATTAGGAATACATCAGGGGTAGAAATAAATGTCAGTCACTGTTAGCATCCTTTTTAAAGGCTGAGAACTCAAATTTCAAAACTATTTTGTGAGCAGCACAGGCATGATTGGATACGTGTGCACACATATGCACTCATGTATGAAACTACCTGTGATTTTATTATTTTTTGGTGACACAAGTAACCAAGTCTCATTGGTGCAATGCTCGGTTTATGAACTGGAATGATCAGAGTTCTAGAACTCCCAGGAGACAGACATGTTAAATTCATCTTCTGAGGCAGAAGATACTATGCCTTCGGGGATCACTGAGGAGACCTGGAGGGTCCACCTGTTGTCCCTGACTTAGTGCCAGTGTATTCCACAAGAGCCACAGTGACAGGAAATAAAGATACTAGTTGGTTTCAAATGACAGTGAGTATTAAATAAATAAGTCTTCATTAAAATTTGTTAAGACCAATATAAGAAGCATGATAGTATTGAACAAGTAAACATAACATGCCATGAGAAACAAAACCCATTCTATGACAATCCAAGGAAAATAAAAAGATTTCAGAAACCCACTCACATGACCTGTCTTTCATTCCTCGCTGTAATGAGTTGCCTTTAGTGTTCTCTGCAAAACAACATTTGGTGCTAGTAGCTCCTCGCAGATTGTAAATTAATCACATCCAACTGAGGCCGAGTCCCTGTGTGTGCTGACGTGGAAATGATCTTGTGTTTGTCTTATAAGGAAGGGCATGTTTGAGTTGTGGGAAGGTTTCCTGTATTTACATGGTCAGCATTGACCAAACCTGGTGCTCCCAAACTCCACTTTATGTCAGAACCACCTGGGTCTTGATAAAAGTTCCAAACAAAGGCCCTACAGGCCACTTAAACTGCCGTCCCTGGGATACACGGGACCCTGATTTCTGTAAAGCTGCCTAGGTGAATTTGAGGATCAGCGTGTCATATAAAGAGTGGAGAAAGATGACTTACAAATGCAAACAAAAATTGTGGGAATCAGTGAGGTGGTGAACGACAGAAAGCTTAAACTTCAGGCCAGTTCTAGAATGTTCTGTGCATTATTTTCTAGGAAGGTTCCTTACCTTTTACTTCTGAGCCCTGTCCACTTCAGTCTCATCAAAAAGTAAAATACTTGAATATGAAAGGTTTAAATAAGGCTTAACAGTCTGGTTGTAGTCAATTTACTCACAAGACCACCCAAACACATCTTTCCACGCAAAGCCAGCCCCACATAGAGCCTACTCTGTCTATTACAGGCTGAGAGCTGCTGACTATGATTTTATCAAAGTGTCTTCTGGAGAAAATGCTAGTCTCTGTTCTTCGTAACAACAGAGTTCAGCATTCAGTAGACACGCACGGCACCTTTGATTCAGAGGACTCCTAGCGAGACTGAGGGTGGAGGAGGACTAGCTCACAACTGGCTTAGAGAAGGGTTTTCTGCCACCTAATGGGCATTTGAAAACATGCCGTACAGAATTCACCTTGCTGATCACAGTGCCTGTCCTACAGCTCAATACTGAGCAATTTGGAATGCTTGGCTTTATTTTTGAACATCTTCACAGCCTTTCTCTTTACATCGATTCCTAGGTCAAATGCTCCATGTGTCAAACTTTTTAACCTGTTTGATTCTTCGGAAGAACTTTCCTTGTTTCTTAAAAACCTGACTCGAGGTGATCAAGGATGCTTCCAGGTACACACTGTAATCAGCAGTGTGTCCTGTGCCCAGCCTTTCAATATTAGATGCCTCTTGATGATCTTCTTTGACTCTGTGACTTAACTATTGTCTACACACATTTGACTCCGGAGTTTATATATTCCACATCAGGCTTTTGCTCTGGTATATTTATTTCACAGATCCACCTCCTTGCCTTGGATATCTAATAGATTTCCTGATTAGACTGAATCACTAGATAAACGCGCGCACACACACATCTGTCTCTCTCTCACACAGCCTCTTTCACACATACCATTGTCTCTACCTCTCTCTCTTTCTCTGTCTCTCCCTGTCTCTCTGTCTCTCTGTCTCTGTCTCTGTCTCTCTCTCTCTCTCACACACACACACACACACACACATCGTGGTAGTCTTGTTATCTCAATACATGGCAATTTTATCCTGGCTTCTCAGGCTAAAAGCATTAGCCATTATTGATTCTTCAATCAAACCTCATATTAAATGTCAGTAATATACAATTATCTTGTGTATTTTCAGAACCCTAAGATTTTCTGCCATCAATTGTCCCACCCTAGTCTGTATTATTATAAAGGTCTCTTTAGGCTTCCTATACAGTCTAGACTTAAAAAAATAGCAGCCAAAATTGTTCAACTGTTTGATCCTGTCACTCCTATTTAAACCACTCCAGTGGGTCACCCAAGTCAAGGCCCAGTGGCTTCTGAGGTTGTGGTGTTACCTCTTATGCTATTGTTGTGAAATTCTTGTTGGTATGGTTTCAAGACAGCAATACCCTGGTCATTCCCCAAGTGTGATCACCTGCATGTGACCCTCATATGATTGGCCTTGTGGAAGGGGGCGAGGAGGGCCATCAGACACATCATGGAAGATGCTAGGTTACACAGGTGGTGAAAGGTGACTGACAGGACTATAGCAATGTAGCCCTTGAGGTGTCAGTCACGCCGAGCTGAGGCTTTGCAGGTGACCCTCACCTCCACTCCTGTAAGCAACACCATTACTGATCAGTTCAGAAGCTGGACTTGCAGGACAATGTCTTGTTGGCCTACCTTTACCTCCTCCAGTTGTGGTGAACAGCAATGGCATTCTTAGGAAGCACACAGGGTCTATTCTCCCTCAGAACCTGACCCTAGCCTTGATAGACACTCTCCCCACAGCCACCTTCAGCTGGTTGTTCTCACTTCTTTTGGATTTTGTACCTTTTTGTTTCAGGTCTATCACTCAAAACACCTTATCCAAGCCCCCCCCCCCCCACCGCCATCCTTCAAGGCCACTTTCCACCTCTAATTCTTTGTCTTTTTCTCACCCACACCATGCTCATTTGCTCACTTTCTGTATCCCACGGCAGAAAAGCTGTACTGGTTACCTTTCTATTGTGATCAAATGCTACAACCAAGGCAACTTAGAGTTAATTGGACTTATGGTTCCAGATGTTAGAGTCTTGATGTTGGAACAAACGCAAGGTAGCAGACAGTTGGGGCAGCAGCTGAGAGCTCACATCTTGATTCACAAGCAAGAGGCAGCGAGCATACTGGGATAGCAGGAATCCTCGAAGCTGACCCAGCAACACACCTGCCCGACAAGGTCACATCTCCTAATCTTTCTGGAGGTGTGCAGCCTGGAAGATCCTGACGAGGTGCTCATGTCCAGCTAGCCACAACACACAAAATATTGCACTGTACTTGTAATATGAAATATTATGTAATATGTACTTGTGATAAGAGGTGGTTAAAATACCAATATAAACACAAGCATAAACTAAATATGCCAAGAAAATTAACTCAGGAAGCAGAACTGACACAAATGTCATTTAAGTTATTACTGTAAGAAAAAATTTGTACTGTACTAAATCTGCTATTAGCTAAGTATATAAAACACACACTCCCACAAAAAATCCAATGAAAATGTAAGTAAAATTGCTTTTATTTTCATAAATAAAAGATAAATCATTATATAAACACTGAGCAGTGTGGCACTGTCCTGGCCTGGTATGACATACACACAACACGACTGTATAGTTCCATCTCCCTACAGTTTTCATGCTAGTGCTCCACATTCGCTCTCTCCCCAAATTCCCAATACCACCTCAAAACCTTATATAATGGGGTTCATTAGGTGTCACCTCTTCAGTCAACACAAGACTTCTTGTCTGACCATGTGAACACCACCAATTATGGATTTCATCACCTGTACTTACTGTAGAAGCACTGAACATATATGTGTTTCCATTTCACCAATGGTGGTTTAGTACAGTCCACAAAAATCTCCCTACCTAGTTAATTAGTACTAGTACCGAAAACAAGCCCCACGGGCAGAGAGCAAGCAGACTTGAGCAGTGCTAGTTAAAGTGTTGTCAGTAAATGGCATTTAGGACAAGCGACTCTGTACTTAGGGGGAAACAGTATTTTTTCTACAGGCAGCAAAACAAACCTAATGCCCATTCGTTCAGTAGTTTCTCCAAGTGTTCTGAAAGCTGCAGCTTCAAATGTTAAATAGATACTATAAGCTGTTACTACCATTTCTATTTTTTTAAAAAAAACTTCATTGATTCTACGGAGTGTTTCCAAGGAGTGTAAACTATGATATATGATTTATTGAATACAATCTTGATTGAAGGATAATATGTTCATTCTTTATCATGAGATGTATATTCCTGTTTCACAGGGTTGCTATGCAGTTGCAGTGGTTTGTCTAAGCGCCTGCCCACTGGTGCGTGCACAGTGAGCTCTCATGTGCACTACTGTTCCTATCAAGTGAGCCAATCTGCCACTTATGAACAGGAGTTAGCACTGCATGAGAGTAACCGAGCAGGACACACTACAGATATGTGACTTTGAAAGTGTCACACACCCTCTATTTCCCAGTCTGTGGCTATAACCAAACTGTTTAAGTGGTACCCACTTTGAAGATCATAGTTTATATCTATATCCCGACCTTCTGCTGCTATGGCCTTTGGCCTACAGCCAAAGAAGTCCGATAGGCTAGATGTCGAAGAAAACCATGTTAAAGACACAATGTACACCAAAATCAGTTAACAAAGGGTATTTTCTTAAAATGCTTTTAACAAAGGAGTCATCAGTGCGATCCAGGACAACCTATCTCAACTGAGCCTAAGAAAGGCTTTCTTTACAACATGCAATGCTGTGCTTCTTTAAAACACACTTCCCATTCTTTATCTCTCTCTACAGAAACACCAAATGCTAGTACAAAGCTTTGTCCCTTACATAGAAAAATTCATTAGAAAAAGTACTTGTAAAAAAAAACCACTGTCTGGACACTGAGGGTGACTATGGGAGCATGGGACTCTGCAGGGAAGGGAAGTGTACGCCATCGCCGGTTTCCCTAAGTTCCACATTCCTCTAAACACTGATTTTTCTAGTAAATTATTGTCTGCTAAGCGTAAGGAAAAAATTTGGTCTGAAGGTTTTCTGATTTTTAACTGCAAATTTCTTTTCCTACCAGAAGACTGAGTTAGACTCAAATCTAACAAGTCGGTGACAAGAGGGGAACTCATTTCTCTTCAAACATTCTTCTGGTATCAAACAAGAAGCAAAACACTTTTTTATGAAGGTAGAAAAACATTACCATGAAACTTACTCTCTAGCGCTCAAATAAGTCCAACACCCCCACACACTCATTAAAGGCATAAAAACAACCCTTCCAAGTGTTGTCCTGATTAAAAAAGCAGAGCCCAGAAACAAAAGCATAAAACATCTCTATGTTAAAAATCAAGAATAAATAAACAAAAGGCCAAGTCCCTCTGAAGTCAGTAATTATCCTATGTGCTTCAGAGAAATCAGAAATGGTGAAGTGAAGCCCCGCTGTTCATCTTAGGGACTGGCAGCGAGATCTCTAAACAAGTGTCACTTAAGAGACAGAACACCCAGTGTCCTTTTGAGGTTTGATATCCGGTTCTTTCACAGGTTTCACATCGTCTTCCGGTTTGGGTTTGACCTAGGGAGAAAGGAAACACG